TCTAAGACACTAGAAATCAAGGGTAATGGGTAACGATTTTTCTTTGTTACCTTGTTGAGGCCTCGATAGTCCACACACATCCGTAATGATCCATCTTTCTTCTTCACAAATAAGATGGGTGCTCCAACTGATGATTTTGAATGATGAATGAAGTTCTTGGCTAGATTTTCGTCGATGTACTTTCGTAACTCTGCCAACTCCGTTTGCGATAGATTGTAGATTGGGCCAAAAGGTGGTTGTGCTCCTTCTTGCAAGTCTATGGCACAATCATATGGTCGGTGTTCCGGTAGTATGTCGGCGTTCTTCTTTTGAAACACGTCTTCAAAATCTTTATATTGCTCCGGTATACTTGCTGTTGAGATCTCCTCCTCGGTAGTTGGAGCCGCATAAATGACAAATGGAGTGCCTTCCTTAGATGATCTTATAAACGCTCTTGCTCCAATGAATAAGGATTTCTTTTTTCGAGGTTTTTTACTAGGTTTTTTCTTGGGTGGTTTTGTGGGAAAAGTCATCTTCCGCAACCTCCAATCTATCAATGGATTATGTTTTTCCAACCAAGAAAGACCAAGAATAATAGGATTTGATGGGGTTCTAATAATATTAAAAATAATATGACTACTATGGTCTTTAAATATTACTTCTATAGGTTTTGATTCATGGGTGATGCTACCAGACAATAAAGATCGCCCATCTATGACCTCATTATGAACAGGTTTTGATTTTTGTACTAAAGGGATCTTATGATGCTTTGCAAATTCTTCGTCTAAAAAATAAGCATATGCTCCTGAGTCTAGTAGTGCTAAGGTTCTCAGTTTTTGAGGGCCGATAAACAGAGGGATTGTAAAACAAAGTGCAGGTTGGGCAGAAAGAAAGGAACTTGATTGTTGTTGGGATATTTCATTGTCCAGCTGCACGGTTCCTACTGTGGCTGGGCATCCTCGTTTTCCTGAACAAATACTCCCCTAGTCTTGACTATGCCTCGATTTTGCTTTTTGGGGCAGTTTCCGACTTTGTGGCCTTCTCCACCGCAATACAAGCATAAATTTTCCTCCATACGTCACTTTTTTTCTTCTATAGTAAGAGATTTGATACGTACCGCATCAATTTACATGTCTTCTACCTCTGAATGCGAATTCACACTGCTTGCCAACATAGTTGGAGCATGGCGAATTGTATGTTGTCTTGAGCGTTGGTCTTGGTGACGTTGGAATAGGCGATTATCGCACTTCACAGCTTGGCTAATGGCTTCATTGAGCGTTCGTGGATCAGGAAGAGTTAACAGTAAATCCTTCACATCATCTCTTAAACTCCAATAGAATTGACTCATGAACGCTTCTTCATCCCAATTGATGTCGCATACTAATTGTCTGAAATCCGAAGCATAGACTGATGTAGAACGCATCCCTTGTCGTAGCGACCGGATCTTTGTTGTAGCCCATCGAATCTTATCATGTTCACCAAATGCTTCCGCAAATGCTTCCAAAAAGGTTTCGAAGTTGTTTAATATGGATGATCGTTTCTCAAACAAAGGAGCAAACCATGATAGAGCTTGTCCCGTAAGTAAGGTTCCAACAAGCCCAACACGTGACTCCTCCGTTGGATATCGTTCGGGCTATAAAATTGCTATCAACCTGATTTGATTGACGAATCCTTGAAACTTGGAACGTGTTCCATCAAACTTATCTGGAAGGCTAACTCGAGGCTCCTTATGTTGTAGAACTAGTGGTTCTTGTCGAACCTGAGGTAAAGTTGTTTCTCCAAGTGCCGAAATTTGAGGCTGGTGTAGTTTAGATTGTGCTATCCCTGATACTCCATCATTATGAAGCCTTGCCACCACTCCTTCAATCTCTGCAGTTCTTTGTGATAACGTAGCGAGGGCATTCATAATAGCATCTAACTTAGACTCCGAACTTTCTGTCATACTAATGTCTTGACCTTCGGCCATTTTAAAAGAAGGACAAAAATGACCCTATAAGAGGCAATATTGGTTTATAGGAGGGTAATCCACAACCTATAAAACACCTTAAGAATTTCAAGAAGAGGGGTAATCCACTCTCTCCAAGAAGAATAAGACTCCAATATTGTAACAGAAGAAGTATCAATTTAGAGGAAGGTAATCTGCAACCTCTAAAAAATGCTAGTATACCTTCAAGTAGAGGGGTAATCCACACTCTACTAAGAAAGAACTAGCTCTGATATCTCAAGTTAGTGTAGTCTCGACAAACTGTCACGGACACAAAATACAGACTTGAAATCTAACAAGAAGTTCAAGAAGAAGTGGCAGAACTAGATTAAACAGATGAATACAAGAACAACACCAGAAAGGTGAGCTAGAACTCCAAGAGATATGTTGTCGAGACTGAAGAACTCTTCAGCCTCGATCCCTATATATACTCCTACTTAGGAAGCTTCTCGAGCTACTTCTATTAACTAGGAAGCTTCTAGAAGGTTCCAGAGGCTTCTTTTCTAGAAGGTTCTAGAAACTTCTCGAGCTACTTCTATTAACTAGGAAGCTTCTAGAAAGTTCCAGGGGATTCCTTTCTAGAAGCTTCTAGAAACTTCTCTTCTAGAAGGTTCCAGAGACTTCCTTTCTAGAAGCTTCTAGAAACTTCTCTCTAAAAGGTTCCAGAGGCTTCTCTTCTAGAAGGTTCCAGAGGCTTGTTTTCTAGAAGGTTCTAGAAACTTCTCTCTAGAAAGTTTTAAGGAATATGTTCCTAACACTTATATAAATTCTACAACTAATTTGAATACAATCTATGAGATTGTATGATGTGCCAATGAATGTGCTATGTTCTTTTTTGCTTTTCTTCTTTTATGTGCAGCATAATATTGTTGATTCCATACTAATCCATATCCTTTGTTCTTTAAATATTCTTAGTTAATATGTCCAAGATTTAGTTTTTGTACATCAAGCCATGTAAAAAAAAACCATTCTCTTCTAACATGGATTGTGGATTGAATCAAGTAATTTTATTAAGGTGTAAAGTGTATTAACATGTTTTATATTTAATAAGATTTGAATCAAATATTAGAATTGGAAGTTGAGAGACCATGAAAATTATTTATTACATAGGACTAAAAACAAGAAAGAAGTCTAGACATGAAGTTATGTTGTGGTTTGGCTACCATGTGAAAATAATACACATATATATTTAATATATAATTTAATATATAATATAACGAGAGCCATCTTTATTAGATATTAGTGACTCTTGAAATCTTCTTTTATTTCTTTTATTTAATGTTTAGGGCACATACTATGTAAAATTTATTAGAAAAAATATTAAGGATGATTTTTATATAAAAAAGAGTAATTAAGTCAATCATATAGATGAATGGAGATAGATGATAAAAATCTTTATATTCTTATTGGCCAAAATTTATATCCAATGGACTTTAAGGAGATTGCTTGAGGCCTTATTAGGAATTAGAATTATTCTTTTAAGGCCATTGGAACTTAGAAGGCTAGGATTAAGAACTTTAGGTTTTTGGCTATGGTTTTTGGTGCAAATTTTGAATTATTTGGAGTTTTTATGAAAGAGATATAGGCACTCAAAGTCAAGGTGTCAATTTTGTATCTATTATTACTCTTTAGAGCATAGGACATGCATATAAAGAGCTTTTGAAATTCAGATTATGCAATTGGAAAGTTGGTTGTAAAAAAAATGAATTGCAAATTTACTACAAATCAATTATAAATACATATAAATTTTTCATATAATAGATGAAAAAATTGAAGTTGATTTAGAGGAACCATGATTGCTTGAAGATAGCACTTCCAAATTGAGATTTGTCAGCAAGCCAATTTTATGAGGAATTTGATTCTAGTCATATCTTGGCCATTTGGATGAATCTTTAGCTAATAATTTCTATAAATATGTATTAGTATATTATAAAGATATATACCAATTTTTATGATATTTAAATTTTGGATATATGAGATATGAAGAAAATAGTACTTCGGTGCTTATAAATTAAGATTTAGAGCACCTGCTAGGATTTCTAAGATGCCAAATGATTTGTAGTAGATTTGCAATTCATTTTTTTTGTAGTAAGGCTTAAAGGTATAGTCTATATTATGTAGAAATTCTAAAAAAACTAAATTATCGAATCAAGAAATATAAATTTCTAAAGTTCAAGGAAAAAAAATCTTTTACAAGAAAAAAATGTTTTAAAAATATTTTGGTATAATTTGGGCATTTTATGCAAAGTAAGTTTTTGAGAGCTAAGAATTTATAAATATGTTAAAGATAGACATATGGAGCTATGAAAAAATTATGATATAAAGATGGATTTTTGTAAGGAGATTATGGATATTTTTTAAGCTTATTAAAAATCTAGCTTATCGACAAATGATTAGTTATGACTTGGTATAGCAAAGGATATTAAGGCATTTCTAGATGCTTGAAAAAACCTTATGTATAAAGCTTGGAAACTTGAGGAATGTAGGAAACAAGGATGGGGGACAAAGGGGGTGCAATGATGCTTAAGATAAAGAGGGATTCTTTAGTAAAAAAAATTGGTTGCTTTATCATTCTCCTAAAATTAATAATGCTACAAACTTATTTTCAACATAAATTTTCCATTGCACACATACCAATGTATATATATATATATATTTATATATATTTATATATATTTTTTTGAAACTAATCTAAAGGCAAATTACACCCAACAACTCATGACACAAATGGAGCGCAAAAGCTCACCAGATCACACAAGGAAGCGATCCCACGAGGCCGCTGGTTGTAAAACTCCGACAAGTGTGAACACGCACACACACACTAGAATGGAATCAAACGAGACCGAGCATCACGGAAGCAGCAGATGACGTGGATGGAAAGGGGTCAACAAATTAACAAATTAAAGAATATTCCCCCTTCTGATCGCGGGCGCGCCCCTAGCGTGACGCGTGGTATCAAGGGCAGGGGTCCCGTTTCTAAGGGAAGGACACTTGTTAAGGATACAAATGGCAGCGCCGGCAACCCGGAACCCATTCAACCTCTGTCGGAAATCACGGTGTCGGTAATCGTGCCCTGCCAGATCGATCCTGCGACGTTGTTTCTAGTACCAATATTTTATTGAGTGTTTCTCCTTTGGTTCTATGCGCTACAAAATTGGGATGTCAATCAAGTAAAGTAGCTCGTTCGGTGCTTGTTCTGTTGACGTCGTCGTTGTGGCTTCTTCCCATTTCAGAGTTACGCGAATTGCCACAGTGGGTTTGATTACCTTTGCAAGGAAAGTGCAGAATTTCGAGGTGGGTCGACGGAAATAATACTACATGGAGAGTGAGCGAAGCTGGAGGCATGAAGGAGGGAAGTTTAAACGGCGGCTGTCGTCGTTGAAGGTGCGGAAGCCTGCGATTGAGCAGGCTCTGCTTGGAGAAAGGGGAGCGGAGGAGGGGGATGTCGAGGCTGGGAACTCTGGTCGCCGCACTCGTGTTGTTGGGAAGGAGAAGCCCCCTGCTGCGTTCGGATTGGGTGGGGATTACTTGAAGAGTATTGTTTATGGTGGATTGGACGCCATCGTCACCAGTTTCGCTCTCGTGGCCTCGGTCTCTGGAGGAGACCTTCCTGCAGGTCCATTGGTCCTCCTGCCTCAATGTTGTGATTGCCTGTAAAATTTTGAGCTATGCTGGAAAATGGGGGCGTAGAGCTTGTGAAATCGTCGGAAATTGAAGTCAATCTAAGTTTCGAAAGTGTCTGCTAGAGCGATAACAGTACGAGGCTCTGGCATTTTAGCTGTAGGAGCAGGGCACATCATGTTTTCGGTGTCCTTTTGAGATTCCTGAAGCTGTTGGACGACATTTTAAGCATTATTTTTGCGTAGTCGATGCTGTATTCTGTGATGCGTTCTTATCAAGCGGAGTGTAGCGGATTTGGCACAAGTTTTCATTGTGCTGGATTTGATTCCTACACGGTGGAGTTTTGCAGAATGTTTTGGAATATCGTAAAAGAGCTATTCTCATGAGGTATTTGTGGATGTGTGTAGGTGCTGTTTTGGTTCTGGGTTTTGCCAACCTTATTGCAGATGGCATATCTATGGGCTATGGAGATTACCTATCAAGTAAAGCTGAGAACGATTACGCAGCAAACCAGCAGCTAATTGCCGATTGGGAGGTCGAAAATGACATCCACAGCGAGATGATGGATCTTGTATCTGCTTATCAAGAGCAAGGGATGGAGAAAGATGATGCTGACAAGGTTAGCATCCTTCCGATTAAATTGCAACGAATATTCACATTGGAACATGATCGTCACTATTCTTGTTATCAGCAAGATCTCGCCAGAGGAAAAACTACATGGATTTTGATCACTATGATCTTTGAACCACCGAACATGAAAGTGGTTTCCATCTGTTTGAGAGTGGTATTGTGCTTCCTTACACCCTGTAATGTTAAAATGCGCAACATTAGAATGAGAAAAGACTAACCAGTCCACGATATTCATGTAATTGAAACACGGTTGGAGAAGGTTGCAGGATGACACTGGGATTGAAACTTATGCTGGACTGTTTTCGCAGATTGTTGATATTCTCTCCAAATACAAGGATATCATGGCTGATATGAAACTGACGATGACACAAGGTCTTCTTCCACCGGATGCCGAGGACAGCCCCTTCAAAAATGGCTGCGTGACATTCATCTCATTCCTTGCCTTTGGGTCTACACCGCTGCTGACCTACTTGATTCTCAAGCCTTTCACTAGCAGCAACGATGTGAAATTCCTTTCAGCTTGCATTGTTACTATTCTTGCTCTTGCTCTTCTCGGTGCTGCAAAAGCTCGCATCTCAGGGCAGAAAATGCTATCCTCCATAGCTGTGGTTGTCTTCAATGGCGGGATTGCAGCTGCTGCAGCTTACGGCATCAGCTACCTTCTCAACAACGTCTTTGGACTTGGAGAATGAATGACAGGAAATAGTTGTTTTCTTTCGAAGTTTTTCATGCTCGAAACATGTGTGGCTACACGTATCTCTCCTTCAAATACATGCAGAAACATGAGTTTGCCAGTTCTGGATTATTCAACTCTGTAAGAGCAATTGTAATGGCACTCGTTGCTCTTGTAAATTGGGACTGGACTCCACAACCACTGATGCAATAGGTCTGTCATGTTTGAATGATATGTTAGAATCTGGTTGTTGTTACATGCTAGAGTTGATCATACTGCACCAATAACTATAAATTACCCAACCTGGGTTAGGCAGTGTTTCCAAGGGTAAGTAAACCCAGAGATTCCTACACAAATAGACTTCATGAAGGGCAGTTCTTGGCAGTTAGTTTACCTTTTGGTCCTTACTGATGATGTTATATGCTCTTAAGAGGATTTTTAACCAAAACTTGACTGATTTTTTTCACGTTATGGACATGATCAATATAATCGTAATTGCATCAAGTAATCTTGTTTTTACTGATACTAATTTGTATTTTTTTTAGAGTGTGCATGTGATTTATGTATGTATGTATGTAGGTAGGTAGGTATATAGTATATAAAAACGTGTACAAACAATTTTATCAAACCCACCTGAATTGAATTCTGCAAAATTCAAAATTCAAAGAATTTTTTACTACATCAACTAATTTCATAATTACTTTTACATGTGTAATATTTTGAAGTGAGACTTCAATTATATTAAACTTAAAAACATACAATATCCAACATATTTCAAGATATAAATTGATTTTCAAAAATCTTCAATTTTAAGAATGGGAGGCATATATCAAAGGGCTTGAATATTCTTCCAACAATCATAATCATTTAAAGCTTTTCCTTGAAACTAATATTTAAGAACCAAAATAATTATTGCAATAGAAAAATTTGTAAATTTAAAATCAACAATTAAAAGAATTGAGTATATATTATTTTAAAATTATTAATAGATAATGCCAAATCTTTAAGACATAAAAATTTAACAAAGAGTTATATTGCAAGAGTTGTTAATGCCTATCTTCAGTAAGGATGTAAAAATTTCAAATAAAATATATATTAAATATTTTACTAAGATGCTATTAATATTTCAATCTTATATATTGCCATGCATATCCGAGCCTAATTAACTTTTGAATTGTAACTCTTTAATTTGTTCTACACTAATTAAATAAAATTTCGATTTAAAAAAATAATTTTGACTATTAGAGTAACCTGAAATCACTTTGATTGTATTATATTGATTTTTGAGCAATAATCTAATATCAATTTTTGTATTGTTGGAATTTGAGACATTATAATTTTTGAGAGCATTAAATGTAGCTGGTGCTCTCCATAATATTTACTATAGTCTATAGTAAATACTATAGCTACAGTATTTGGAGTGTAGTGGAGAAGAACTATTTATCCTCTCTCCTACTCCTCTTGTATATGAGACACAACCAGATCAATAGACTTTTGTGTGAAGTTCTCTCTTTCCTTAGAAACTCTCTTATGTGTGTGTATATATATTACTTACTACTACTCTTGTGTCTTTCTAAACATTCTCAACATGTTATCAATACAACTCTCTTTTATACACTATCATAATTTTTTTTTTTTTTTTTTTTTTTTTTTTTTTTCTAGTCTTGACTCTTCAAACTTGTTGCTACTCTTGCTGCCTCTGTAACTCATTACCTTGCTGCACTTCTTACTGGCCCCTCACACATTAGCTCTAAACATTTGCTTCACTTTGTGCCCTGCTTGTTTAGAATAATTACTCTAGTCCAGCCTAATACTGCGCCTTACGCGTATCGTTGATCCTATCGCTACACTGCCATTGTTGCCTTGTTGCTACCGTTGACCACCAACTACCGTCAAACAAATGTCAATCCCGCCGCCCTACCGCTGCCACATTACCATTACCGCCCTGCTATTGCTACTCTACTATCACAATCTACAACCTTGTTCAAATAATAATAATAATAATAATAATTAATTAATTAATTAATATTTTTGACTTCAAGTTCAATTTTATCATTTTATTTGTCTTTATATTTTAAATTATATTTTATTCAACTTTTCTACTTGATCTTGTATTTTTTTTACAATTTTATTTATAATGAGTGCTTCAACATCTTCAACTACTTCTACTATGGTTCTAACTATTACTCGTGCATCCAAACATTTTCAAGCTCTTTTATTTCGACCATTGACTATGGATGGAAACAATTATCTATTATAGGTAAAAATGGCAAAAGTAAATTTATTTGGAGAATAACTCTTAGATGCTATTATCCTTAAAGAATCTTTTATAATAAGTATTTCTATTCTTCTTACTATCCATTGGAAAGCACTTCTTTTCCTTCGTCGTCATCTTATACCTACATTACAATATCAATATTTGGAAATAGAAGATCTTGCAGAACTTTGAAAGAATCTTAAATCTAGGTTTGATCATCAAAAGACCATTTTCCTTCCATGTGCATGTCATAATTGGACACATTTATGTATCTTGGATTTTTCAAATTTAAATACTTTTAATAGTAAAATATATAGTATTGTCTTACAACTACGATTATGTAGACAAAGCATCTCTAAAGAAAAAATGATTAAAAAAACTCTCTCTATATTTTTTCATATATTTGCTGTGCTTGCACAACAATATATGAACATGAAATTTCAGAGTCATTCTGATCTCATGTCCTATCTACTTCTTGTAGAGAAGCAAAATGAGCTACTCTTACAAAATGTCGAAGCTCATCCTATTGGAACCAGAGTTCCAAAATCTCATGGACTTAATATTTCAAAGTCTAAAAAAAAAATATATATATATAAACATGAAAAACGTACTCATAAGCATCAAGGCAGTCATAGTCATGACCATTTTTATCCATATGGAAAGAATAAATTTTCTACTATTAATTATAGTAGAAAATAAAAATCGGAGATGTGTTCTTGCCATAAATGTGGAATGATTGGACATTTAGTACATGCATACCATACTTCAGAATATTTTATTAAAATATTCTAAGAAAATAAGAAACTACATGCTGAGGCTCATGAAGTTCATACCATGGATGCATCCATAGATTCAATTGGTATTGATGAGTTAGAGGCTTATATGAATGACAAAACCTCTAATGGAACACAATATGTCAATTCAATTCCATATGGAACATGCTCAAAATGGACTTGAAGAGTCATTTATAAAGCATATACAACTCATTATTCGGCCACTCTTCCTTCATGCAAATTTACCTACATCTTTATAGGATCATGCAGTTTTACATGTTGCAGCATTGATACGCCTCCGCCCTTCTTCTCTTGAAATTGTTTCATCACATGAGCTCATTTTGGGTCGTGTTACAAATATATCTCACTTACAAGTATTTGGTTGCCGTGCTTGGATTCTAGTATTAGAATCTCAAGAGCGTACCATTGAAGCTCATCAACAAGAAGGCATATATGTTGCTTTTGATTCACCAAGCATTATTTGTATTGTTGATCCATCAACTGGCATATTATTACGTGCACGTTTGCAAAATTGCCATTTTGAAGAGAATGTATTCTCATCTCTTCAAGGAGGGGTATCCAATTAATAAAGAAATAAAGTAGTTATATTTCAAGCATCAAAAACATTTACAATAAATCTCGATCCTAAAATATCTTTAGCTGAAACTAAAATTGCTAAGATTTTGCATCTAAAACGGATTGCAAATGAAATACATGATAGCTTCAATGATGTACCTAGAATTATAAGAGTTCCTATTAATGAGGCTCAAAATGCACCTACTTAGATTTCAATGCCACTGACTACAATACCTTAAGTTATAACAACAACTAAAAGAACTTGTGGATTAGAGAAGCAACCATATAAGAAGAAAGCTATAATATTGACTAATCCTGGTATTATTTTTTAAGAAATTTCGACTTATCTTGTGGAACCATCAATTCATGATGACATATCCATGCTTAATATATCTTCAATTCCTATGAAAAACAATCTTAGAATTAGAAGGAATAAGAACAAGTTGAATAAAGAATTATCTATTATATATTGTGCTTCAGACAATATTTGGAACAGACCATCTATTATGGTAGATGAATCATTTGCATGTATGATTATAGAAGCCTTTTCTTATCAAGAAGACGATTCCAAACTTCAAACCATTGAGGAAGGGATGTGTTACTCTGATTGGTCAAAATGAAAAATTATTATTGAGAAGGAGTATGCCTCTTTGCGTAAGAGAAAAGTCTTTGGTCCAATTGTAGATACTCTTATATCTCGCCTTGTGAGATATAAGATAGTATTAATATATAAGTGAGATAATCAGGGTCAAATAATCTACTATAATCCTCATGTTGTTGTTCAAGGATTTACACAACAATTTGGCATTGATTATAAATCCATATATTCTCCAGTCATGGATTCAATTATATTTTGATATATTATTAGAATGGCAATTCATGCCACCCTTGAGATGCATCTGATGGATGTGGTAACTGCAAATCTATATGATTCTCTTGATACAAATATTTATATGAAAGTTCCACTTGGCTTGGAAACAAGAACTCCAAATCAACCTGCTCTAAGTCAATATCGTGGTATTAAATTACATAAGGCCTTGTATGGTTTAAAACAATCCAGACGCATGTGGTATCAACATCTTTGAGATTATTTAATTACACATAAGTTTGTAAGTGATCGACTAATTTCTTATTTATTTATTAAATGAGATAAAATTAGTTTTGTCATCATCGCTATATATGTTGATGATCTTAACCTAGTGGGCACTAATTTTGCATGTATTGCAGCTACTAACCTACTTATATGTGAATTTGAGATGAAAATGCTAGGAAAAACAACTTTCTGCATTGATCTTTAGATAATGCATCTCACAGATGGTAGCATTTTTTTCTACCAACTAACATATATTAGATGAATCTTGTGAAGATTCAATATGATTGATGCTTATCCATTGTCCACACCAATGGTTAGACGTGATTGTGATGGTCATGATTCATACCATCTATACGAGGAGGAGGAAGAAACATTGGGAGATCAATATCCATACCTCGCAACGATTGAAGCACTTTTATATTTAACTACATCTACAAGACCAGATATTATATTTGCAGTTAGTGTTCTTGCAAGACATAGTGCACGTCCAACACTACGACATTGGAATAGCATCAAACATTTATTATGTTATTTAAAAGATATTGAAGACTTGGGATTATACTACATACAATCTGCAAATCCAAAATTGATTGGATATTGTAATGCAGGATATAAATCTGATACTACAATAGCTAAATCTCAAACATGATATATATTTTTAAGACATGGAGCTGCAATATCATGGAAATCAGTGAAACAAACAATAACTGCAACTTCATCCAACCATGCAAAAATTATTGCCATACATGAAGCATCTCAAGAATGAATTTGTTGTGATCAATTGATAAATTCATTCAAACAATATGTGGATTTTCATATGATGATTCTCCAACTATCTTACATGAAGACAATAGTGCTTGTATTGTACAGACGCAAGTTGGTTTCATTAAAGGTGATAGGACAAAGCATATTGATCTAAAATATTTTAGTTATATCCATGACTTGAATACTGATCAAGTACTTATAATTAAAAAAATTGAATTTGTAAATAATCTTGGTGATCTCTTCACCAAAGCTCTTCCATTATGTAACCATTGTCAACTTACTTATGGCATTGGTATGTGGCAACTTGCTTTTCTTAAATAAAAAAGTTAATGAGCTCTTTAAATAATTAAGAAAAATCATGTTGTACTCTTTTTCCTTCATCTATGATTTTGCACTTAAATATAATAAGGTTTTCTTAGATAAGGTTTTAATGAGGTAATAATTGTTGGTCTTGCAAGTTTATAAAAAAGTATAGATCATAATTCTATACAAATTTTATATTATGTAAATATTATGATGAGCAAGGGAGAGTGTTGAAAGCATTAAATATAGCCGGCACTCTCCATAATATTTATTGTAGTCTACAATAAATACTATAGCTGCAGTATTTGGAATGTAGTGGAGAAGAACTGTTTATCTTCTTCCCTTCTCTTCTATATGAGACACAACCAAATCAATAGACTTTTGTGTGGATCTCTCTCTCTCTTTAGAAACTCACTTGTGTGTGTGTGTGTGTGTATTACTTACTACTACTCTTGTAACATTCTCAACAATAACATAGCCAACCATTGTGGGCACAATTCTATAGAACCTTTGAATAGTGAGGGTTGAAGTTAGTGCACACCAATATTCATATTTTCTCATAAGAAACACCATAGAATTCTTAAAAATGTAGAACAATTATTATGATTCATATAGTTTTATGTGTGGAATTTGATGGTTCTTTTGGTTTTTATTATAGAATTAATATATCATTATTAAAATTAGACATTTTTATTAAAATTAAATATTTTAAAGTTTAAATTTTTATTACAATTTATGAATGATAATAATATAAATGATGTTTTCAAAATGAAGTTAGTACAAATCTAAAATCTTATTTTTAAGTTTTGGTATCCTTGCAAAACTATAATCATAGTAGACAAAAATCAACAACTTGTGAATGGATAGATTCTATAAAAAAATCCCATAGTTGTAAAATTACGAAGTGTGTGAATTTGGTCATTTTACTACAAAATTTATTATTTAATACATAAGTTTTTAAATTGATATTATTAATTAGTATTTTTAAACTTTTTTCTTTTGATTTAGATTTTTGTTAAAAAAATAAAATAGAATTTCCATGTGTTCCAATATTTTACATTACAATTCCATTAAATACAACATTTCTTACTTTTTTTCATTTTCTGTATATATTTTTGAAAGTTATACTAAAAAAATTTACATTCTACTAATCATGGAAATATCATGCATGCTTAAAATCACAACACATTTCATCTAACAATTTTACTAACCGTGATAATATTACACAAAATCCGTTATTTTAATTCATTTTCAAACTTTTCAGTTCGACTCTAACATTCTGTCGTGCACATGAAGCAGCATTATTTTTCATTTGATTGCAATCAATTAAATAATCAATTAAATAATTAATTGACAATTTCTAGTTAAGAAAAATTGACAATGATTAATTTTTCTAAATTAATGTATTAGAATAAATAAAAGATCGAAACTGAAACTTTATAACGTTTCAAAATCATGTTATCACATCTGTTCCAGCACCAGAGCTGTTAACTTTCATTTAACGGAAAGGGTAGCAAGTTACATCTCTGTTTAAATCTGCTCGAACTTGTCCCTACTCATTCTAACTGAACTGTTTTTTTTTTTTTTTTTTTTTTTTTTTTTAATCAGTTCAATTTATAGAGAATCCCTGTACACTATATACTGAATAAGAACTTTCATGTTTTACCTGTACACTAATTTCATGTACAAAGAAAAATCTACCTACCATCTAATTACAAGTATCGAACATGCAACACAGGGCCGCAGTTTGAGCAATGTCTACTCTCGCATCGATTGCCGCTCAAATGCTGGTAACCTCGACAACTCTCATGATGTTTTCAAACCCAAGGAACTTAAGAAACCTACCACCAACAGCTAATAAGACGCCAGACCCCATCGGACCAACGTGTGGCAAGGCAGGGTGAGCCAAGGTTCCCAAAACAAACCAGTTGAGGCTCAGAAGAGCCACAGCCAAAAAACCTCGTTGCGTCTGGAGTTTAGTGAAAAAGCGAACTACGCTGATATGCGACATGCCCACCACAGAGAACAGGGCAATCACTAGAGGTTTGCAAGGACTCTGCACAATGCGTTGAGGTGCAAATATTAGAGCAAGATGATCATAATGTTCCAAGCATTTATTCCCTACTTCGCCATCGTTTCTATAAGATCGAGATGTCAAGCAGGCTACATTACTGAGCAGAACAAAAACAGGGCTCTCTCAAATAAATCTTGCTTGAGCAATATCAGAACAATATAATAAGCAGTAGAGTACCAACCTTGGACTCCCACGCAATTATTGCCACCAGAGTTGAAAGCAATGCACTAAACATAGTCGACGCGAAGGCCGCACCGTTCTCAGATTCAACAACAAACACAGTCTCGACATTTGTTCGAACGATCAGTCCCGACCTGCAAGGTGGCTGAGCTCTCACAGGTTGTGGGACACCAGATGATTCTTTGTCTTTGAGTGTGTCTTTGTTAAGAAGAGTTTTATCGGTGAGACGTTTAGCTTGAACAAATTGAGAATCTGCACTAAAGCTGTTATAAAGCTTTTCTGTACTTGGCTTGTTGGCTGCTTTTAAGTTTGCCAGATTCTCTTCCAGAGCCCTCCGTAGCACCTCTTCAATATCAGCTAACTGTTGATTTGTGGTTTCCAAATTCTGAACCTAAATCCCACAAAAACCAGAAGTGGATAAAGGAACCATAATAATAAATCATATAAAACCCTTACAATTTCCAGAGAGAACAAAACGGGGTTGCCAGAAATGTGAGACTACCTGGTACTAATCGGCACAGAAGGTAAATTATGCAATCTATGTACATCCTTAAGTGGCTTAGTCATTTCAAGTGCCTACCTTATTTTTCAAGACCTTCAGAGCGTTCACTGCTTTTTCCTTGTCAGCCATCACAAGGTCAAGAGTTTCCATAACCCTCCGGCGATATCTTGTGAGGGCATCTAATTTTCTCTGAAGCTCACCATTCCGCAATTTCAAGTCTTCATAATCATGCCTCAAAGAACAGAGTCGTAACTCCAGCTGTTGAGTAAATGATCAAAGGATCAGATGAAGAATGACTTCTAGATCTTAAAAAAATCTAACCTAACAGTACAGGGAATACAAACCACCACCTTGTACTGTCAACGTTGACCGTAGTTATGCTGTATTACACTAGCATGCACGTAAAACATCTTAGAACACTGAAAGGAAATGACTTGAGATGTATCAACGTCACACCTCTTTTTCGCGACGATATGCTGTTACTACTCCAATAAACCTTGTGAAAGCTTCGGACAATCGATTTAGCACGACGCTCCACGCAGAAATGTACAGGTGCAGCGCTAGCCAGAACAGTCGGCGCCATGGACGAGTAACTGAAGAGAGGAGGTCACAACAAAAAGATGCTAACAGAACTATCATCACTCTTGCAAATTTTTCACCCAAAAAGACCGCCCTCCTCAAGCTCCAATCATCTCATGAACTTTCCAAATTTTCCCTGCACGTGAAATTTAACCAAATTGTTGAAATTCAGAGCTTCCCCAATAACAATCAAGAACAGCCCAACGCAAAATAACTAAAAAACCCTCGTTACTATTCTTTTAACTATTTTCCAAACACATGCGGAGCTAAAGAGCTTTATTTGTCCCTTTTCAGACATCAAGGCATGGATGAATTGAGGCCAATGTTACTAAGTTAATTAGATCCATGAAACCAGAGACCCCCCCCCCTCCGCTTAATAACGTGCAAGATAGATATCAATGACGGTTGAAAGTGAGCGTACCTGAAGGAATGTAGTCAATATAGACCAGAGGAACACACCATCCGTTTGCGACGGCGCCGCCGGAAACATAAGAAACAGAAGCCCAAGCAGCAAAGAGAGCACCAAAATGATAGTCCCCGCATCCGCACTCCGTCTTGGAAAGAACAGACCTCTTTCACGCTTTGTTGCTGTTCACAACTACTAAGAAGGTTGTCCAAAGAAGATTCGCGTCAGAACACAATTCTATTCAACATAGACTTCTGGTATAAACCACTCTTTCCTTCTTCCAACCCACTCTCTCTACATTTATCAAAACTATAGTTCCATCTACTTCACTTCCAACTAATATCCACAACCTAATTACCGTACCATAAGGAAGCCAACCTGCTACTCGCGCACCACTTACACTGAGCGGCCCAACATTTCGTCAAGCAACACCAAAAAGCCAGAGTGCCTTCGAACCAACATAATCCAAATGCATCAAATGCATCAATCCACAAAGCCTCGGCTCATGTATACATATATCTATATATATATATATATATATATATACATCTTTTTATCCTCTGCTCATGCACGACCCAACTTGAAAACTCCCAGAGTCTTTCTCTTTCCCAATTTAGCTGCTGTGAGACTCCCACGACTACCCCTCACTCAACACTAAAATGCGCAGATCACAATCACTTGGTTCTCGCACACAGGCTTTAGAATCGCAACGCAACGAATGAAACCACAAACAACCAATTCTAATTGATCTACAAATATTAGCATCTAAAATGCCGGGTAGTCATGCACAAGGCTGAAGAACAGAATAGCAAGTAATCTACAGGGACAAACAACGCACAGAAGCCGCAAGGAAACCAGAGCGGAACCAAATGCCAGAAAAAGAAAGACTCGAACCAATAATAAAGGAAACTAAAACATGCCAGCAAACGACCCGCACAGGATGCGCTAGCGCGTAGGCACCGCCTACCGACGACACAACGCCAGCAGCGATTCCTGAAGGCACGAGCTACAGAAAGAAAAAAAAAAAAAAAAAAAAAAAAAAACTTCAAGACAGGCACCTCACTACTACAAGCGATCAAGGAGGCAAGGAACAATCAGCAGCCAAGATACGACTTCACACGGCGTCACTAACAACAACAGACACATCGCAACAACAGCAACGCACCATGCAACGATCCAAACGAAGCGAGAATGGCAGAAAAGTGGTTCAACTCAGCAGCCGCAGCAGAGGTTGAGACGCAAGTACCTAAAGCAGGACGAGTAAAAGGCGGTCTTGACTACGAGGCGGTGGTGGCCATGGCTGCGGCTTCCTTCCTTTCTTCTTCGGTAAGGGTTTTGCTTTGCGGAGCTCGAGGGTTTTGGCTGTAGCGATGGCAAGATGGCGAGATGGCGATGGTGCCGTGGTCCCTCGCTCGCCGCAACGCGTCCCTTGCCCTCCTTGCCCTTAGCCCTTTCTCGACCCTCCGCTTTCATCCTCTGTTTGGATGCTTTTTGTTGGATGTATTTTAGCTGGATGGTTTTCGTTAGAAAATTATATTAAATGATTCAAAGTTTGTGTCATTATAAAGTATTACAAAGTTGTTCTTTAATTTAAAATATATGGTTTAAGAAATTATGGATTTTGAAAATATACTCCATAAAGTGATCATTGACATACTCACATTTCATTGGATGTTTTAAGACACGTTATTTTACAAATATTATTATAAAAAATATGGATGTACTTAAACCATAGCTTTTTACAATGGCATATGCTCATTTTTCTTCAAATACATTGATAAATATTCTTTACATTCAGCTTTTACATTTTGAAAATAAGGAATTAAAGAAAAACTTGATTATAAATTTCTTTTTATGGATAGTGATTATGTTAGGAGAAATGTTGAAATTAAATATTAAATTTTGATATGATAACAAATCTAATATTGTATCATAGTATAATAAATGCACTTCAAATAGTAATAAAAAACCAATCAAATTAAACATCAGATATTGGTATTTTGGGTCTCAGATCTTGAAATGAATTATACCAAAAACTTTAATTTCAAGATACCTAAAATGGTTGTGAAAGTATAGGATTCTAAAAATTTAGAAAATTAAATTAGAAAATCACAGGAAAAAATTAAAGTTTTAAAAAATATAATAAGATTGGCTAAAATTTTTACTAGTAGAAATTTAATTAAATATGTAAAAAAAATGATATTTGAACACATGAAACTAAAGTTTGTTTAATGACATAAAAAAAATCACTCATTTTTTAGTACATTGTTGTTATTTTGTGTATTATTTTGTAAATCTATAGTTAATTTAATTCAGATATCAGTGATACATGTTATGATGCATTTTTTTTTTCAGCTTCACACAGAAAGAGAAAAAGCATTATTTGTTAAATTTTATATTTATTTTAAATCCAAGACCATTATTTGTAGTTTTAAAAAAATATGCCAACAAATTATTCTAGAATAGTTGCATATTTTATTATCAAATCATCCAGAAGCATAAAAAGCTGCATGTTGTAAATAAATTGATAAATTTATAGTAGACTTAACATTTTTTTTTAATAAGAAACATGTTAATAATTAAATATGTTTAAATTAATACTAGTTTTTTATTAATCAATTTGTAAATTTATGTGTTTTCTGATTTTGATTTTAGTTAAACATCACATTCGTTAGGCATCTGGTAGTATTTCAAGTTTCAGTATTTTCATTCTTCCAACGTTCATTTAAAATAAAAAGAAATATTAAAAAACCAGAATTACAGAACTTCAAGCAAGTAGAAATCAATGTACACCTTCTGTTTACTCAATATCATTTGAACAAAAAGTAATATAAACGATTATTTCTTGACTAAATTGTCAAATGTTGCAAAAATTAATACATTTCATTATGTATCAAAGAAATAATCTGCCGTATTGATTTCGAGTTTTATAATACACATCACAAAATTATGTAGTTGAAAAAAAGTAGTAAGATTTGTGAGCAAGAGGTGGAAAAGCACAATTACTTCCAAATAGTTCAAATTTCACTGTTGTTATCTAAAAATACAAATATTTCATTTTTTCCAGACTAATCTGATTCAATCAGAGAAAAACTAACAAGTACTTTCAACACTGTAATGCAAAAAATTGGGTTCAGCTATTTTGGGCGACATGGTTTCAATGAGTAACAGAGTCTATCAACTTTGTTACGTAGATCAATTGTTTGGTGTACCTTATTCAATGACTTGAAAAACATTCTCATATATCACATCTGCTTTGATGACCCGACTAACACATTTACCTGAAATGTAAGAATAAAAAGAGAAATGCGAATATGCGTTGCCAGAAAATAATGTTTGAGCTAGAAGACACCTGCAGTTGTGCTACAGATCTGGTGCTGGACCAGCCGTAGTTGATCTTGCTTCCTCTTTGTCTTTGGTAGACATGTGAAGCTTATAAGGCTGGGTGGAGTAGAAGTTATCCAGGTTAATCCCATTCAATATGTGCTTCAAGCTTGTCAAGTAGGATGCATGGCCATCAATCATATCAGACAAGTCTACCTGCAATGGGTAAGAGTCAATCGTTAAAAGCTTCAATCTAAGATGTTAACCAAATTCTACAAACATAGTTATTTGAGATTTCTTACAGTTTGCATACGAAGCCACTTACATTCTCTATTCCAGGGACTTTCACTGCTTGAAGTCCTGCCAGCCCTTGCGACATCAAGCTGCACATCAAGAACCCATGTCAGCAAAAGACTCAAAAGAAAGTGAGTACAACTGAAGCCTCATGAAATTCTACCAAGACTGTCAGCAATCGAAATCAGGAAGTACAGGCGGAGTAATATCTCCCTGAAACCATGGACAAGGGATGGATACGTACTTAGCTCGATAACAAACCCCAAGGACCCAATCATTCGTGGAGAAACCATTAACAAACCTTCCTGCCACCACCTGAAAGCATGATGCATAATTTAGCAGGTTTTTAAGTTTCAGCCATTCAGACAGGCATTAGACAAGAACACCGACAGGATTCTATACAGAATATGGAGATGTTGAGGACAATGTTTTTGCTATATTTATTTCAAGGGCACATCAAATGTTCCTGTTCTGCTCAATGCCTAATTGGGACAAACAAATTCACGTAAGAGAGAAATGGTGTGTACCTTGCGAGCGGACTCCCATCTTGATTTCTCCACTGTTTCTGGAGTCCCCAGAAGGACCACCCTTTCAACAATACCAATTCCTGCAAGTTGCAAGGTAATCTTTGTAGCTGGCGCACACTGAGTAATATCACATCTGAATGAAATGGTTCTTGTAGGTCTCTTCACCGAGAATGAATACAATTCTACAGAGGCTTACCTTCATTCCCATGTTTTGCCAATTCTTCCAAGCATGTGAATATTACTCGGGCACCCAGAGCATATCCTATCAGCGTTACTGGCCTGTACAAATAGCAGAAAGCCAGTGACTTCAGGAACAATAGGTAGCACAGTTTACTGATTCGCTTGCTGGTGGATATTTAAAAAATTGTACCATTCACATCACCAATACAACCGGTCTGGGTTTTTGTCATTAACATAAATTTGAAAAAAGATCATTCTTGTTAGAGTAGCCGAAAAATAGTTTTGGAACTACTTGGGAATACAGGTTCAGCGTAAAAGTAATTACCGGCTGCCTTGACCACCTTGAAGTAAGACTGTGGCAAGAAGTTTGCCAGCTTTCCCTGACCTGTTCATTTGCAAAGAAATAAATCCAACAGCCCCGTTCTTACTCAGCAAAATAAGTCCATTTTCACTAAACAGTGATGCAATACAAGATAAAGTCAAAATAATACTTGAATTGAGAAGAGAAAGAGAAGATGCAAGCAACACCTGTCAATGGCAAGTTGCCATTTGCTGTCAATCAGGTCAGTTGCGCCAAGAAAGGCAAGAGGGGTTGACAAAGCGCTTAGAAGACCGCCGAGAATTGTGCGCATAGCGCCTCGTTTGATGACCTCCTTCATGGCGGCTGTGGCAGTAAATTAATTATATGATCTAACATTAGTTCAAGGGGGACAAAGTATTCAGTCCAACAGGCGGCTCGGAGCATTGAAACTGTGTTGAGGGTATCAATGACATTCATTTTTACATTGAAATAACTTGAGCAGGTGCGTGATCATCTGCAGGCTAATTCAAATCAAAACAAAGATTGTTGCCTTAACATCATATCAACAAGGGAAAGCGTGGCACACTTGAAGTAAGCCAATCTTGAATTGCGGAGCTAACTGCGATGACATGCTCCGTCTCCCAAAGCAACGCATATCTGCACAAATCGCTTTCTCTTACGCAAATCTTCAAAATCTGTGCCGAAAAATTAAAACCTTTGCACAATTGAATGAAATTTGGGAGAAACACACGGAAATTAACTCGCTCGGTGCCCACCAGTTTTACACATATTTGAACAATTCTTGTAAACCACCAACTAAGATGACGTACCTCTCTGAATCGCCATCCGGGGCTTCCCACGGTTTAACAAAGTCATCTGGAGAAAAAGCAATGCCTGACACCACTATCTCCACTGCCAAACGCTGAAAAGGAAGCACCAGTTTGACAAAATAAGGACAATATTGAACAGCAACTTGCTATCACTCATATAATTTCAATTTTTTTCTCATGGATTCAGAATTTTTAACATGATTACGATATAGATTCAATGAATGAAGAGAGCATTGCAACGTTTTTAGAGCAAGAAAGAACAATGACACATACCCCTTGTTGATGATTGCTGCCTAATGTTTCAAATGCAAACTCGTCGATGTCCCTCATCCTTCGTGCCATCTTCATTCCTGTCAATCTGGCTCCTGCCACTGCTCATCAACAGTAGCAAAGTTCGGCGTGTTCAAAAAGGCGTGATACAAAATAAGCAACATTGTGCATATTAAGAAAAACGAACATTTTACCACAAATTGAGAACTAGAGAACTAGGGTCACGCTAAGGAGAAATGTGCTCTCCATCACCTCCAAAAGAGGCTGTCACTGCAGCCGAGCCAACCGCTGAACCAGCCACTGCGGCGGCTGCTGTTAACCCTCCTGCACCAAGAATTGGCACAGCACTTCCTATGGCAGCCATTCCTGCTGCTATCGCTGGAGCTGCTAGACCTATCACAGTCCAACCAAACATACGTGTCAGGTGGTTGAAGACATGATATTGGGGATGTAAGATTTGAAGGAATATGAATCATGCCAAACTTCTGGTGGACGTCATTTTGAATAAAATAAACCCCACATCTTCAAAGTTTTTTAGCTCCTTGTAGTGACATTAGTGACATCCTCATTGTGCACAAAATTGGGAATTGCAAATTCAGAGATAAAATGTGAAACTTTCGCCTAAAACGCTGGACAATTTTGCATCAAAAGTGAGTCTCAAAACAGCCACCTCCAGTGATAGCAAGCAGTGTTCCTCCTGTAACAGCAGCTGCACCAATAAACCCTGCACGTTTCCATTGCGCCCACTGACTTTCTTCTTCCTCTTCATCTTTACGCTTTCCGTCTCTTTCCCTTTGCGCAGCCATAGCCATGTAAGCCACCATAAGCTCCATAACTCCCTAAGTGAGAACAAGACACAGGCATCCCGGATAACACCACTCAGGGTCCACATGTAATTCCAAGCATTCCAGATGTTGATGACTGGGCCTAATATGCAAGACGGCTTAATGAATCATATGCACCATCAATTATATATTGCCAAGTCAGTGGAATTTCGCAGTCGATGGTCATTAATGATCCTTGTCTGAACAGACTTGCACCCACAAGATTATGACAAGACGAAAACATGAAATGCAGGAATCAAACTTACGACTTTTGCCCAATCAATATCAAGCCACAGCACAAGCAAGCGGAGGGCAACTCGCTGTCGAGCATCATAACCAGACTTCGCAACATTGTTCTCCGTGGAAGCCTCAGCCGTGGTATAACCTGTGACCACATGAGTGTCAGCGACACAAGCTGCCAACAGTGTATATATTACAGCCACTTTCCGTTCATAGGACATAGCTTTAGCTTCATTCAAGCTCAAGCTGTTCTCTCCATTTGCGAATCGCTCCATCTCTATCTTGGGTTCCTGAGACTTGCCCTTGGAGTCGGGAGTTGAAACTGCAAAATCTCCACATTGTTAAACAACATCTCTTCATGCTCCACACAGAATTTGTTTTTATATTATGAGCTGTACAAACTCGAACCTGGCAACACCACTACCTTGCTTCTCTTTGGTACTTTCGTCCATGATATCCACAGCTTTGGCCAACTCGGCCGCATCTTTAGTCAACTTTCGTGACTCTTCGTCATCTTCCCCCATGAGCTTTAAAAACTGCATATGCATCAATGGTATCAACCTTGAATATTGTCACATTGTCACATTTTGCCTCAAAAATACTCCATAGAAACTCAAAAAATACTAGATAGTTACAACTGTGTACAGGGTGAGATTCTCACTGCTGAGATGTGATGCTTGGATTCCATGGACAAGGCTGTAGATTCTAGACCAACCCAGGCTTTTTGATCAATGCCCAAGCATCTGCATCATTATCAGTGCTGCGTCATTACCATTGGGAGCGAGTGCTACAAAAGAAAGCTCTTATTTTCAAAGTTGAAAACACCCTAACAATTTAGAACAAGGCTAAACGGTGCCAAGAATAATCCAAAAAAATTAGAATCTATCCAAAATTAATGACCTGAATACGTTACGAACAAGACCACTCTCTTCGTGACTCCATGGGATCTCTCCATTGCTCTCGAAGGCCGAAGAAGCACCATCGTTGGGGGATTCCATGACCAGGGGGAAACCGAACCCCATCTCGGAGTGCTGATGCAGCTGCGCTTGCCTGAGTGCCAATGCAAATAGCCCCCCAGCTGCATATCTATGTGCGCTGCTAAGCTGCTCTGAAGCCATGGCCGATCACGACAGCAATTCAAATCCAAATCTTTTTTAGCACCTCTGCGTCCCTTAGCCCACTTCCAAATGCCAAAATAACCCAGATCAAGGTTCACCACAATTCTTCTGCGCTACCTGTTCTTCCTTCTCAGCCTGGTTCCTTGGAAAACACTTGGCTTGATTAATCAACTGTCAATGGCACAATGGACAGTCAAAGTCTGTTAATCTCTGCGTCATATGCGTCAGATGAGCAAAATTCCAATCACCTTTAGTCGGGTTTTGATCCCTTACTGGGAAACCAAAATTCAACCCTCAATGAAAATAAACCATGCACCAATGACCCAGAATCAATACTCCGCCCACTCTGCCCAGTCGAACGAGAGAGAGAGAGAAATCAAAGAAAACCCATAACACAAAGTGGAGACCCACCTGCGTTCCACAAAAGCATGGAAAAGTCGTAACTCAAATTGGACGAATGCTACGAAATCTCACTTGGTTTTATAAAGCGGTAGGTACTGGATTGGAAGCGTGCTGCAATGCTTGCTTAGGTTAGAAGATTGAAGGCTGGGAAATCGGGCGTTGCAATGGAGACACACACACGCACACACACAGCAACTCCAATTGTTGCATGAAGTTGTAAATGCCAAGTGGAACCTCGGGATATGGTGACCTGGCGTATACGTGGCATCTTAGGGGAGAAGTGTGTATTGCAACAATACAGCTCCCCGTGTGAAGAGGACCCTTTAAAGCGTTTGCCTGGTGGGATGCTGGTCGGTCGGCGTCCTGCGGTCGTTCTGTTCATGCATCCTGTTGTCGTCGTCGTCGCAGGGCTTGCTTTGGAGCCTGGTTTTGATTTCACACCAAGGCGACGTCGAGATCCATCATAACAATGCACAACGCCATAACAACCTCGGGGTGATGGTGAAGGGGATGGCAACGAGGTAGATGCGGCGAGGACATGGAAGTAGGTGAAACTGCTCCTGTATCAGATTCGGATGCACTCAGAAGATTCCGATCCCTTACTGATCATCGATCCCCCAACGCCCCCACGCTCTGAAGAATGGCGTAGCTCTCTCTCTCTCTCTCTCTCTCTCTCTCTCTCAGCTCTCAAAGCTTCTCCGTCGTTTCTATCTTTCCTCCCTGCTTGCACAAACATTACTGAATGGAACCCAGTTCCGTGAGCCTCGTAGTACACCGCCAAACTCTTCATCCAGCGGCTGTTCGCTGATTTCGTGATGCTGTTGCTGCAATGTCATGGACACCGACACCAGCTGACCGGAGACACCCAGTTTCTACATGGATCTGCCGGGTTGTTAGCGCCAGAGTCAATGTGCAGTGATCGGCAAACAAAATTGCAAGGTGCACCAGATAGCCAATGCTTAATCTCCGTGGGCATCTGGAATAGATTTGAGGGGTTGGTTGTTTCCCCGCTACTACAGAAGTCTATCCTCGCTCCAGGCTTACAACATAGAACCATTACTTCGAAGTTGGGAGAGATCGGTTGTTCCTGAAATGTTCGCGCTATTGGACACACCCGTAGTAAAAGGTGCCTGGATCACCAGAACCGGACGTTTAGTACAGCGCAATACTGTCAACGCATGGGGGATGCATTTTGGCTTGCAAGAATTGGGCAGAGAAGGGTCGATTTATGAGCTAATTGAGGAGGTAGTTGTAATCTGCTGACATCATCTTCTCAGCTCTCAAAGCTTCCCCGTTCCATTCGCCTGGATTTTCATGTTGTGCCTACGTGTGTATATTTTTCAGGATAGTAAGCTTAAGTGACAAAGCTACAGGGATCACATCCACACTGTATGACGCGCAATCAGCGATAGTCGATATACACGCACCCGCGGTAGCAAATCTAGAGGTGGATACAATTCCAAAACTGCGAAACGTGTGTTGTGTTAGTCATCTCACTCATTTGAGTTCATTTCACAAGACCCTTTGAGCTCACAGTTGAGATTGCGTGTGATGAAGCACAGGCACTGTCGTCACTGGAATCCGCAAACGTGTGGTCAGAAGTCACGGCGCATGTGGTGAACGGCAACATGGAGAAAGCGCGAGAGGCGAAGCGGCGAGTAGAGGATGCGCAGCGCGTGGAGAGAGATGGCAGGGTCTCCGGCGACGATCTGTGGAGCCCCAAGCACTTTGTTGCGACCCAGTCCAGGTCCTGGGAGTGGCGCCACGCCGGCGCGCCCGTCCCTCCGGCGCCGCTTGTTGTGCTCACATATCATCCATCCGCTCGCCTCAACATCATTCATCAAACTTCTCGTCATCCTGATGCATAAGTCTCGACGCCGAAACTGGGACGGGGAGCGAGAGTCTTCCGGGAATTCTTTACTTTCTGTTGTAGTAGTAACTTGGTGAGTAGTAAGTGGTAAGTAGAAACTTGGGGAGTAGTAAGCTTTGCCACCAAGGCTTGCTTTCTTGCTTATTTCACAGCTATTTTTTAGATTTCTTATTCAATAATAGTGCACTTTGTAATCACAGCTCGTATGAATCCAAAATCGTTTTTTTGAATTTTCATGTCTATTGTACTAGTTAGTTCATATTTAATTTTTTTTATAATATAATTTTTTTTCCCACATGTGTAGTAATTTAACTGTTATTTTTATTTTTATTTTTTTTCTTCTATGTGGCTATATTTTTTTTGTTTTTCAATAATTTTATCGTATGAAAGAGAGGACTTGACTTTGCATGAATACCACACTTGCATGAATACCACACTTGGGTGATGCAGATTTGAATAGTTTCTGTACTCAACCAATTACAAAATGGACAAATATATAACTGGCTAAATAGAGACATGCATAGATGTATGGTCTTTTGAATAAATAAATAAATAAATAAATAAAATGCATGTATACTCTTCTAACTTTATTCTATAAAATACACACAAAAATCATAATTTTATGTAGATTATAATTTTATTTTATATTTTTTGTAGAAAAAGAAATAAAATCACACTTTCTTGCAAAGTGGACTAAGATAATGAATTTCTTTTCAAAGGAGATTTTTAACATGTAGTGGATAAAGTTGTTTGCCTAATTTTCTTTTTTATTCCTACTAATAAAGTTATTGTATAATTTTTAAAGAATAGATTAATTACAAAGAAAAATTTATAAAATATTATCCTAGACATATATATTAACCTAGACTAAAAGAATCAAATTAAAGTAAATACAAGTAAGTAAATTTGATAATATCTTATAGAAGTAAAACTATATATATATATATATATATATAGAACTTTATAAATTAGAAGAGAATACAATAAGTGGTTGCTTAGAGGTCAAGCTTAATCCTACAATTTATATATCAACTTGCAACTCAAAGTAGAATTCTAGTACTATTCTTTGGCACTAAAGCCTTGAGTATTTCCATCTTAAAGAATTGCACAAAATGATAAGTTTGGGAGTTGTAGAAAGATTGTCAAATATTTTAGTTAGAAATCTTAATTGATCAACATGCTTCTTAAAAAAATGAAATTGAAAAATCTTACATTAGGTAAGAACCTCAAAAACAAGTGAATTCTTTAATTAAATTATTCTAATGTGGCAAGACCATTCCAACTCAAATATTTAATATATATATATATATATATATATATATATATATATATATTTTAATTTTTATTGATAATTCTTCAAAAAAGACATAAATATATTTTTTTTAAGCAAAAAATCAAGTCTTTTATAAATTTCAAGTATTTTATTAGATCTTCATCTCTATTAGTTGAAAGCTATGTCCAATAGGCTCTTAGAAGGCTATCTACAACCATGACAAGGATTTTGGCAACTTGAAAAGAAGCATTTGAGAATCAAAAGTAAAAATTATAAAGTTTAAGATTTGGTCTATATGATTGTCGTTTTACTTATTCTACAATTCCTTCCAGAATAAACCTGTATAGGAGAATTTGAACACAGGGAAAGATTAAGCGCATGAGTTTCACTTGTTAGGGTCATACAATTAATTGTATTCCGAACCACTAAAATATTAAGAAAAACTACAATGCTTCCTTCTAGTAATAATACTCTTTCAGCAACTGATAACCACAATGTGCAACCTTGCACTTTCAAAAGACCGCTCAAAACTCAATAAATTCCATCCAACACCAGGAATAATAGACTTCACTCCAACCAATCTGAATTCACAAAATTTCTGTAATTATAGACTTTCTCTGTCGAAACACACACACACACACAACTCTCAATAAACAACAATCATAATCTTCCATCCATAATCAATCTTCCAATAACTTCTCATATAATTCAATCACTCAGTAATTCAATTACATAATCAATAACTCATAAATCAATCTCTGATTTATTCCACAGACTCACTTCTCAGTATTTAGATCCTATCCATTATTCTTCAACAACAAAGAAAACAAAAGAAACAAAGAGGAAGCATCAAGCTTAAACCCGGCTCATGACTATCACAGTCTTGCACTCCAATAAACTTCTACAACTCCTATATAATTCCTACTGATTTCCAGATTCTAACTATAATCTTATAATAACCGCTTTTAATAACTGAATCAATCATCCGTCTTCCTAAACTGACTATTCTATAGACTATTAATCTATTTTACCAATATCTTACAAAAACGAACTAATATCTATTCTACAGTCTACAATTTGTATGCAAATTTTAGAAGACTTGGAATTAATGTAATGAAATTATAGCCATTTGAAGTTAAGGTGTCTTTTTAAGACATATTGTTGCTCTTTTGAGGATATAAAGAGTTTTATGATAAACTTTGGAGATTAAGAGATGCAACCATGAGTACAATTTTAAGACCTATATCTTTTATAAAAATATTTTTGTATTTGGAATTTGTATAAAGGAATTATAGAGTATTAAAGACAAATTTATAATTTGAAGGCAATAAGTGAGTCGTTTTGTTGGAAGTAATGATTAGAGCCATATCTTCAGTTTTTTGATGATTTTTTAGCTCAAAATTTATTAAAATATATTTTATTAGGTTAAAAATTTATATATCAAAATTTTATGGTATTTAAATACTTATTTTTTGAAATATGAAGAAATTGCACACATGTATATATAAGTAAGGGTTTGAAGCTACTGTTAGGATTTTTGCGATATTTCAAGTTTCCTAATGAATTTATAATTGAAATTTGTTGTAGTAGTTTTTGAAAGTACATCAATAATTCATGTAAAATTTTGATTTGTTTGGATAGTCTAATCATAAAATATGACCTATTGAAGTTCAAAAAAAATTCATCTTAAGGATATATAAGATTTTGTAATATTTTTATCACATTTTTGGTAATAATTGATACTTAGGGCTTATGTATTAATGTATTTACTCCTATAGGAACAATTTTATATATAAACTAGGTACTTTTCTATCTTATGACTTAATTGAGCAATTCATGACAACCAAAAGCCTAGTGCTTTCTTAAGGCAAATTCTCTCTACCTCGACAATACTCTTTCTAGACATTCTTATCTTGCATCAAAAGAATGAGATGCATCTTTTGATCAACAAAGAATGATTTTCTTGAAATCAGAGAATTTTCACCTTTAAGCAATAAAATCAACATTGACTATTGATTCAACTTTTGTCAAACAAATTCAATCAAATATATTTTCTTATCTTCTTGTGAATGATATTAAGGATAATTCTTCTAAATCTCATGATACTTCTAGATTTGATTTTATGAACAACCTACTCTATTTAAAGGACAATTATATATTTGAATAGGTGAGGCACAATTACGTGTTCTTCAAGCTCGTCATGACTTTTTAGTAGCTAGATATTTTGGATACAACAAGACTTTAGAGCTAACATCAAGAGATTTTTGGTAGCTTCAAATATGGAAGGCAATCAAAGACTTTATACAATCATGTTATATTTGTTCAAGATCTAAAACTCTTTGCCATCAACTTTATGGACTTCTTCAATCATTACATATTCTAGAACAATCATAGTCTTGTGTTTCTATGGATTTTATCATGAATCTTTCTATCTCAGGTTCATGTGTTTCTATATTTGTGATAGTAGATCAATTTATCAAGATGGCATATTTTATATCATGTGTAAAATCTATTACAGGTAAAGAAATGCCTAAGCATTTCTCTTGACAACATTTATTGCTATCATAGATTGCTTAAAGATATTATAAAAATATATATATATATATAATATTTTCTAAAAAACCTTCTTAAAAGCTTTATAGATGCTACTTTGGCTTTACATGTTTTTATAGTTGATTAATAAGATAGAAACTTGATCAATAAATTAATCACGTGTTGATAGCTTGCAAAATAAATTAACTATGTGGCATACATATAGAAAACTTACCTTGTAAATTAAGATATACGTCTTACAAAATCAACATGTTTTGGAGGTCTTATAGGACATTGCTAAATAGATCTTGATTAAAAATATATATGGAGGCAAAAATGAAGCTTTCTTTACTCTCGTCAACATCTTTCTAATTTTTAGTCTTATTTCAAGATTATCTAGTTTTTTTGTTTTTAACAATAGCCATTCTAGTTTAACACCATATCATCTTTGAGTGACTTTTTAGTTCTTTTGAGTGACATAAGAATGTAGTAAAGATTTCTTTTTTTAAGATTTATGCCCTTGATAATTACTTGTAATTCCAAGTTTTAATTGTAACACAATTCCTTCCAATATTGTATTCATGGGATAAAGACACCCCTTAGTCACACCAATCATAGTCACCATAGAATAATTTTTATTGCACCATAGAAAAAGAAAGCAAACAACCATGCTATTGTAGCTCCAATCACCACGAGGTCAACCATCACTGATAAAAGAATCAATATTACTAATCATAACAAAAAAATATAAATATTGCATTGTAAGCTTGCTCTTCAATTGCAAAATTTTAATTCCAATTGATATCCAAGAAGCGTTGATATCCACCTTTTCACAATATCATACACACTGCTTAGAAGAAAATATATATACTTGAAAGCATAATATTGATCGCCTTTGACTAGCTACAATATTTTGATGGAATAAATGAGCAATTACAATAATATACACCCTTGAAGAAAATCACATCATGAAGATTGGAACCTCTACAATGCATCACATAAAATCCAAAAAATAATAATAATAAAATAAAAAAAAACAAAACAAAACAAACAAACAAACAATGAAGAAGAGATTTGGGCGGCCATACTTCTATTAACAAAGACGATGCTATCATTCCTAGACAGCTTCTTGTCCTCTTCATCATTTATATATATATATATATATATATATATTTCTATATTATCATTTTCATTTCTATTTTTAATTTTTTTTCTTTCTCCACTTATTTCTAATTTTTTTTCTCTCCTTACTCTTTCTTATTAGTTGCTTACCTTCATTCTTTCTATTTTTTTCTAATTTTTTTTCTTCTTCAATTTTTTTAATTATATTTTTTATTTATATTTATAGTTTATTTATGTTTTTTATTTCTTTTATAATTGATTAGATCAGGTTTATATTTTTTTTTCTAGCCCAATTAACTTTTTAATGAC